AACCCATACATATATATTGATATATACATACATTCATGCATGCTGTAGGTATACACAGACATAATAGTACAATATTCCTAACAGAAGTGCTAAAACCAGCTCCTGCTTTCACAATTTACACTTCAAATATCCACAGAATTCTGTTATATAATAGATACATAAATTAGTGATCATGTGAACTGCCATAAAAAATTTAAATGCATCCACGGCAGCAACAATCTGTTTTTGGTCCTGTGTCTACTCTGACTAGTTGTTAGCTCATCAGTCTGGTCAGAAAAGATGTTTCCCAACTGAAGTTGCTTAAAGTATCCCTTATCTAACCTCTCTATAGTTCTCCACTGTAAAAGATCTGAATTATTGCTTTAACCTAGAATTTTAAAGAGTTTAACGTAGTAGTTTTTATTTAAAGTAAAAAAAAAATTCAAGGTTATTTTCCTCATTTAGCTATGGTCTGAACAGAGATAGGACTTGAAAAGGCCATTGTTGCAGTGATGAAAGCTCCATGGTAACATTTAATCTCTTACCCCAAATGAAACACAGAAAGGGTAGGGTCACATGAGGGACAATCCATGATGACGAAAGCTTCATTTCTCCACTGCCACCAAACCTTCAACAAATCCAGAAGAACCTTGAGAAAATACCACAGATTAAAAGGCACTTACATTTTACAAATGAGAACTCCAGGTCAAAGAAAAGGCAGGCATGTTCATTTATGAGACTCTTCCGGTGTAAAACAGCACAAATGTGTTCCCTCTTCAGACAAAATTATAAAGATATTACTCCCATTGCACAAACTTTAAAATACTTGCTTATGTTGACTTTAATGTCTGCCGAGAGAGTGTTAATGTTGTAAACCACCTGGTAGAACATCTAAATAAAAACAATTAATTTAAAGGACAGGAAGTCTATACCATGACTGAGTAAAAAAATGGGTTCAGRGTCTACAAACTTCAACACAGACAAGACCAGGAGGTTAGGACTTTTTCAGAGGGGCACATTCAAAAAACATATTCTGTTTCTTTGACTTCCAAAGGGTTCAAATTAAGCACAACGCTTAAAGCAAGTGTTCAAACATTTTAAATTGTGTGTTTTAGAGCTTCATTCAGACCAGAATGCCAAACTAGGAGAAACTCTGAAGACAGCCCGAGAYGAGCTTGATCTTAAAACAACTCCAGTCTTAAAACATTTTACARATCTTTACATGGATGTCAGTTTCACATTAAACTGTTATTTCCATAGCGGTATATGGCTAACAGCAGCAGCTAGCTATAGCACTTCTGCTTTATCCTGAGGCACTTTGACATAAATATAGCATTTCTGCTAAAAAGAAAACACATAATGCAAAAATCCAGTCAGATTTAAYAGCTTCCCCAAACTAAAGTCGGCACGTGTTAAACTCAAGGCCTGCCGGCCAAATGTGGCCCACCATTTGGCAAGTAGCTGGCAATATTTGCTGTGTAAAATMTCCATGTCACTGCATTTTTGTTGGATACTTTTGCTGCTGCCCAGTTGTACTGGACAGTAGCTGCGTTTCCATTGCAAATGTGCGCAAAACTTTGTCGATATTCTGTTAATGTCGAAAAAACAAAGTTTCTTAACTGTGGTGTTTCCATTAAGTAAGAAATGCTATTAAATTCACGTGTGAATACGTTTGTTCTCACGATAAGTCATTACAAACATGGCGGCAGTGGATGTAAAACACATAGCACGCTGCTACCACGACACAGGCACTCATCATCAGAGGAGACGTCGGCATCTTTTATTGAGGCTTTCCAGAGACAAGTCCCTACT